GAGTGATAGATAAATATAACTGGTAAATACTGTTATGAAATAAATCAATTAATCACTTAACTATAGAACTGTGTATTGATTTTATGCTGACAACAGTCAAAGATACCTGTAGCATTTTTCACTTGTGATCATATTATGGGAATCTTTTTGTTCAATCACAGTGAAATAAATGGTAAAATGCCAATATTCTTTTTATGATATATAGAGACACGTAATCAAATTCTGAAAACATTGAAGCGTAGGAATTTTTTATACCTCTAATTTTGAGTTGCTCATTAGTTTCAAAACTAAGCTTTTTACCAAACTTTTAACGCTTATAAAATATTCATAAATAGAGATTTAAAAAAACTACTTAAGTTCCATAATCAAAAAATTCTTGGATTGTGAAGCGATTGATTACAGGAAACGGCAATGAAAAAGTAAAAAATGCTTTAAACCATGTATCAATCTAGTTTTTTTCGTCAATACCTTCACATGGAAGATATTATTTTGTTTTGTGTTAAGCAACTGACCCAATTCTGAGTTTCCGACAATCAATGCTCAACTCAACGGAGCCTTGTAACTTGGAGCCAAACTCAGAAGACAAGGAAATTCTTGAATCAGACATTGGGATAAGCTAGTCTTTGTGGAGGACTTTTAGATGCAATTAAGAAGCATTTATCTTACCTGGAGAGGAAAACCTCGCGTGGTTAGCCCGATGGCAAAGAGATTCTAACCTATGATCCGTCTACCACTGAGGATATTTTACATCAGCACTGTGGGCGATGCGAGCCGGGAGCAAGATTTGCCTTAATCAGTCACTGTTGGGATTCGAACCTGGGAAACCTCATTGGGAGACGAATGCTCTATCTATCTCCTGAGCCATGGTGACTCTCACAGGACAAAATTCCATCTAGCATCAAATATAAAATGTTTTAATTTAGAGTCTTAGTTTTTAAGATTGCTAACTGACTACCACAGTGAGGCAATAGAGGTAAAAGCAGTCAACGTTTAACTAGAGAAAATCGCAGATATTTTCTATAAAAAAAAACAAAAAACAGTACAATGGTTTTATTAGTGAAATATTGGGCAATTTTTTTCAAAATAAATAAAATTTATGTAAAAGTGAACCTATAATTAGAAACAAATTCGAAAATGAATTAACTGAAATCTTTAGGGAATTTAAGATAGCTGTAATGAAGACATTCTGAGAGCCTATGAAAAAATAATTTTACGTTATCAAATTATTTGAAACAAGATGGTGAAACACGCGTGTTTATACGAACATCAATTCAAAAAATCACTTCTTTCTTCTTTGGCATTATCGATAATAACAGGGAAGGAAACGCACGCATCTTTTGTTGCGCTTGAATTTTATAAACTTCTGCGTTTTTATCATCGAGAAACAATGTAACTATTTTCCTCACTCGATATTGATACTTTCTATCCTTGAAACATTTTATATAACTATAGTAATCGAGAGAAAGGAAATAAATAAATATTTTTTTAGTCAAATTAAATAATAAATATTATGAGTAATTGAAGCTTGTATCCTTTTGTTTTTCTTTTACGGGTATGTGTTTTTGATGATAACACAATATTTTAAAATTTTTACTAGACTTAAACGAATTACTTTTTAACTATTGTCAGAAAAACTACTTTATTACAAATGTAGTTAACTACAACTTAAACTATACTTTTCAAGCTACTTTCGAATTGTAGTCACCACTTCACAACTTTCAGTCGACAAACTTTGCAGAACTTAATTCACACCCATGCTCACAGTGGTTTTGAATTTTAAAAAAAAAAATTAAATTATTTGGCTTACTTAAACATGAGGAATTATTTAGAAATATTTATTTATATTTATCCGAGCCAATTTTTCAGTCTAAACCATTTTTTTTTTAACCAATTCGTTCTATCAACCTTAAATTTTTATACCTCTCTCGACTACGAATATCGAATTTAAAAAAATACTCAGAAAACATAAAATATTTTGTGTTCGCTGTTTTTTCTCCTCTAAGAAATTTAACTATTTGTTCTAGTGACTTGTGTATAGTTTCATTCGATTCAACAAGAGAAAATACCTAGAAAACAATGCCTCACTTGTTTAGGCAGCAATTTCAGTTGCGCAATTAGTACTTTTTCTAAATAAAACCCTTAAATCTTATAAATTGTTCCTTGGATAGTTTCAAGATTGGTCAATTGGTTAGGATATAAAATTAAATGCAAACTTAAATTTAAAAAAAAAACATAATTGTTTATTTATTTAAAATAGTTCTATCATTCATAATTGGTAAATTTTTTTACACATAATTTTATAAGTAAAGGTCATTTTTATTAACCCTAAATTTTACTCATCGATCCGGTTTTCATGACGCCAATACAAGTGTCATTTCCGCACCAAGAAAATGAGACTGAGTAAAATTGAAATAGCTTAAGCGCTAGTGTTCAAGCAATAAATTTTTATTTAAAAATTAGCATATTTACGGAAAATTAAATATTTTAATTACCAGTATTCTATCAAAAAATACTTGGTTGAAAAAAAAATACTTTTTCTAAATAATTTTCTCTTTTATCAATAACTGATTCAGCAAATATATATACATATGTGAAAAGCGATTATTCAAATTCGAAAATCACACATCCTACAATCGTATTAAAAATTACGTTTTTTAAAATCCTTCAGAATTTCGTAGTAAAAACCATTGAAAAGACGATGGAGATACAAAATAGACTTACAATGGAAATTGTGCAAATTGAGAGCATTAAAAAGTGATAACTCAAATTTGCAATAACATTTTTTTTATTGTTTTAAGAAAACAAAAATCATGTGTTCAGGATTATCAACCCAATTTATGCTAAAAAAAAATCATTAGAAGCACAGAAAAGTCTCCCAATAGTCTCTTTTTCCTGAAAATAGTTGCTCTAACCTTTTCAGGCAAAAAAAGTTGTCATAGTTGCATTTCAGTCACCTGTGACAACCCTGCTTTTGACGTCATTGATAAGTGAATGTTAATTTTAATAAGGAGTTGTAACTTAAGGAAATACGCCAGCATAATAGATAAGTAAGCAACAAAAGGCGCATTCTTTTAAAATGTTCTGCAGGAATTTAAAAATAGCAATAGAATTTTTCCTTAGTTGGTAGAAGATAACTTACCAGATGATCGTACACGCATTGCTTTATTAAAATAATGTGTTAAGTTAGAAACACAAATTAAGTAAAGTTTGAAAGATACGATTTTTGTATTGATAGTATTGTGACGACTAGAAAATTTGTCGTAATAGCGGATTTATCGTAATATGCCGCACTCGTTATATCGAGCTTTTCTGTTTGTTTATATATAGTCTTGTAGAGTTTAATCAGCTCAATTTAAAGTTTGCCTCTTGATTCATTGAGGTAGCATCATAGTGCGTAAAAATCCGATCTTAAGGTCAAAAAATATTTAGGATATTCTATTTTTCATTTTGTTAGAAACTTTTATATCTCTTAATTTTTTAAAATTCCCAGTTTCCGTGATAAAGCGCCCAGAGTCAGTTGTAAAAGTCTTCAATTTTCGTATGCGACAGCTAAATTTAATATATATATATATTTTAATTTAAAAATATACCGCTGCAAAAACTGAAATGCTAATTAAAAAATATTTTACACGTGAAACCAAAACCAAATGGAAGAAAATTTGCCCGACACTTTTGAGCATTTTGTTTATAAAGTGAAAACTAATGATTCCAATAAATTTATTTAAGTTATAACTTTATACTTACAATTGAAAGTAATGTTAATAAATATTTGAACTCATTACACAGTAAAGATTTTGTATCATTTTATTAAAACTAACGCAAAACTCGTAACTTAGTACAAGAAAATCCAGTTATTATATTGAAAATTAATCAGGCTGTTTGATTTCTATTTTGTCAACTACAGATATTCTAAACCTAGAATCACGGAAATACTAATGCAAATAACACGAGACTTGGGCCCTTTTTTGCGAATATTTTTTATTTAATTGAGTTAAAAAATATTCAGCGAGAAAAAACGCTTTTCCTTATTTCAATAAACATTTTGCCCTACCATCAGATTGCATAAAATTAGGTAATTGCATACTTCCAAAGAATTATTTACCTACCAACATATATTAGATAGATATTTTCTAATTTAATAGTATGAATTCTAGAGACTAAAAGGTTAATTAAAAAAAAAAAAATCTTAAAGCAATTTTATTGAGGCGGGGTCTAAAAAAACGAAATCCAACTTTTTTATTTTCGGATTAAAAAAAAAGTGATGAAAAAGAAATTTATTTACTATCAAGAAGATAGATATTTTCCGAAGAAAAAAAAATGCTGACTCAATAAGTTTTTTCCTTCAACTTTTTTAGGCAAAATTCTTCAGCTAAAAATTTATTTAACCCGGCATTGAAGTGGTATTTTCAGGCGTTTCAAAGATTAAAACTTACAGTTTCTCTAACAAATTGAAATTCTTTCTAAATTTCAAGAAGATTTGGTCTGAAATCACCCCAAATGTATTACAGTACAGAACCCGTTATCCGGAAATCAGAAAACCAAAAAACCGGGACAAAATTCCAAAAATTTTCCCGCCACTTAAAAAAAATTTTCTCATAAGATTTTAGAATTCTTCTTTCTTTTTTGAAAGATGTTTACCTTACCATCGTTTTGGACAGCGTTTTTTTCTTATTTTTAAGATTATTTCCAAATATTTTTTTTTTAGTTTTTAACAATAAAAAAACGGCTTTTTGTAGCGATTCAGAAAACCGGAAAAACCAGTTATCCGGAATAGCGATGGTCCCGATCGTTCAGGATAATCGGTTCCCTACTACTACAAAATAATGTACTAAAATAAGCTCAATAAATATAGTTGTATAAGTTTCAATAAAATTTATTCACAAAAGCAATATTGAAATTTCAAAATATTTTGCAACAAAGGTACTAATGGAGAAAAACAAAAGTTGACTTAATGATTGCTCGTAAATGTAGTATGATTAAAGACTGAGGTAACAATAATGAAAATTTAACAAAAATTACAGTTTTATTAAAAGAGAATGAAGAATCCAATGAAGTTGAAACAACATTAACGATTGGAATAAAAATTATACTAGCTATTAATACACTAGGAACCACTGTACAACCAGTGGGATCAAGTACAAAATAATGCCCATGAAAAATAGAGCACTGTGAATTAGAAAATTTATTTTACAAAATGTACAGTAATATGTAATTCTTTCAAAGATAATATAATCATCTCTGTACAATTGTCCTTGAAACAAACAATTTGTGCTATATATATACACATTTATAAAAGAACAAAAATAGGGTTCAAGCCAGCCAAGAACAGAGTAAATAGAATGCTATTTATTTTATTGAAAAATACAGTATAATGAACTTACCATACATAAAAATATCCCAATAAGTATTTTTCATTTGTACTTTTCACGTCAATATTACTGATGTGGAAAATATCTTTAAATGACCGGAAAAATTTTTTGAAGCCAAGACCTGATTATTTTACAGACGAATGGGGTACTCACATAAGTTATCAGATTTCAGAGCACCACTAATTTCATTATTAGCCAAGAATTTAACAGTATTAGCACTTAAAATACTTTTAAAATATTAGCTCATAATGAACACTTTGTAAATTGATGTTTACTTAAAAAGGCCATGGCATGGCAATTTAATCAGGCCCTGGTTAATATGAAAAAAATTGCTGGACAAGACTGATCAAAATTTCCGAAAAAAATAATAAAAAATTAAAGCATTTAGAGCAATCATTGTAAACTTTTAATAGTTAAAAATTATTTTTAAATGCTTAAAAAATTATTAAAATGTAGAAATAAAAAGTGTATCAACACTCGACTTGCGACAAATTTATTCAAAAAATATTTTGATGCTTCTCTAGTATGAAGAAAAACACGTACTCAATCACTGTTATACATAATGATAAAGTGAAAACTTAAAACAAAGATTTTGTTCCATAAATAATAAATTGCTCTCATGAGAAATGATTTAATTATTATACCTCTTAAAGAAATACCAATATTTAAATCAAACAATCAAAGCGATTTACTTGGGAGATACAAATGAAAAAGATGTATTATGAAAATGAAAAGAAATGTAGGTCAGAATATACTGTGATATGCATACACACACATATATATATATGCATACACATATATATATGCAAAAAATAATAAATATAAAATGACTAGCAGATTCTAATAATTACTTAATAATGAATATTTTTACAATGAAAAATGAGGGGGTTAAGTGAAAGCGTTATATTATAATTTAATGGAAAAAAAATTAAGTTTTTAAAACTTCAAAAATTACGATTCCAGTCAACCAAATAAGCTGGAAGTGAAAATCAAGTTTGCCTTGGTTGGAATAAAATATGTTTTCCCTGGCAGAGTTAGATAAATATAGACACATGCATATACACATTTGCAGTTTTAAAAATTTTGCAGTTACTTTTTTAAAAACAACTATATTTTAATACAATTAAATAATTTCATTTGGTACTATTTTTACTTTTGTGCTGTTAATATTTATTTTCCTAGTATATAAATTTCATTTTTATGGGTACCTGAGGTACTTAAAAAAATTTTCAATTTTGAAGTCATTTTTGGAATGTGTGGATAAATAGCCTTCTTTTTTCCTAAATTTTCTTTATCTTTCTATGAATTCTATACTGTTGCAAGTTAAGAGGAAACCATTATCCTGATGGAGTGAGCCTGTTTGCATCCAAGTGCACGCCAACTGGATACTAAGCTCCTGGTGCCATCATCGCAAACTCATGAAACGTTGCATTGCCTTCTTTTTGCTTGCTTTCTTAAATCAAGTGAAATGATATCAAAAAATCATAACAAATATGCATCTTTCTGTGCATATTTAAAGAATATGAATGATGAATATTCAATATTACTCTCATTCCTTGCAGACCATTTTCTTCAGCGAAACAAAAATTCTTTATCTCGCTTTTGATTTGTTAAAGAAATTTCAGCATAAGATGTGCCATTTTAAGTGATCCAATCAAACCCAATGCTCTTGCAACGTTATATAGTTGTTTCTTATTCCAAAAACGATTGTTTTTATTTATCCAAATGTGTTGTCAAATCTAGGATTTCAGTAAGGCTACAAAACTCTCTTTTTTTGTAATTCTATGATATATATCATAAAAGATAGCACAAATTAAATTTCTGATCGATGAGTTCAATTTCTAAATCTTTTATATTGTTTTAAACGCACACTAAAATAATTTAATAACTAAATAAAAAGGAACTATGTGTAGCACAGATGATTACTAAAATCCTATATCGTAAAATCTTTTAGTTACTTGCAACGGAGTATTGGTAATAGCATAGTTGAGGATATGAAATAGTGAGCTTACAAAATAAAAAATGCATAGGGAAACAATATATGAATAAAATGTACTTAATGTAAATCCTCAGGGAGTTTTTTTAAAAATCCAACTTTTTGAATTTGTACAAATTATTTCGACTGTAACTGAATGTAGATACATATTTTTTAGTTTTCATGGGAAAAAAAGAAAACATTTTAAAATTACAATTTTCTAAACTAATTTTTTAAAAACATATTTTCACCAAAATTTAAGCTATGATATGATTAAAAATTGTCTTTCCAAAACAAATGGAATATTTTAAATTTAAAAAATATATTAAACCTTGAATGTACAACACATTACATGACACATATACAATATCAATGAATAACAACAAATCTATTTAATGCACAAAAATATAAATTGATAAACTCCTTTAATATATTTCTCTTTATGAATCGAAAAATAGGGTGTGAATAAATTTCTATATCACATGTATATGATATCAATATCATGTTTTTTTTCTGGCAAGAACCCTACTACAGAGCCAGTCTACTCTTTCGCACATCAGCTTTGCAATTTGTAGTTATGACAATATATATCGGATGAACATCAATAATGTACAACAGAAGATAAATTCCAATAACTCCTAAGCTCATCAATGGTGACAAATACAAGAATAGATAGTTCTTGCATGAACACTTGCATAGTATTTATTTATATATTAAGAAATGCTCTGTTACTTTGTATAATTTTTAAGGGAAAAAACAGAGAAAATGAAGGGAAATTGATTACTGGCTCTGTACTTGATCTTTTATGCATTTTTAAATAATAATTTAAATGAATAAAATATAAATTTATTGTGTTATGAACATTTTTCATTTACAAAATCACACAGTTTCTTTGTTTTTTTTATGATGGTAAAACAATTAAGTTTTATTAGAAAGAAATAGTGAAAAAAAAAAAAACTTTTATAAGTGACAGGAAAAAATATTTTTTAAAGGCAGCCTACAAAAAACACATCGTTTTTACACAATCAATATTATCAAGTGTGAATCCAAGGCTAAATACCAAATATTCAGCAATTACACCAATTATAGAATGTTAGATTAGAACTGATTTCATTATGTGATTCAAATGCGAGCAACAAAATAATCATTATTTATTAAGTATAAAAAAAATTGCTTAATCAAACTAGAATTTTTTTTAAAAATAACTGCTTAAAAAATATAATTTAAAAGACAATATGGTCTAAGACAAATTTTAACCTTTTTTCTATTTTAATACATTCAGCGGCATTTGTTTAGTAAATTAACTTTTAGTAGTAGAATATTAAATAAAGTATTACACGTATTTTCAGGAACCAACTAATTCCATAAAGTCAGCCAGACGAATAAAAAAAAATTTTTTTTTCAACATATTTTTCTGTAACTTATGTTTCAACCATTATAAGCAGGAGGATGAGGATTTATTAAGCAAAGAAATCAAAATTGATTGCTTTCAATTTGGCAGAAAATTGTATCAAATTATAGATTTTTAACACTATAACTAAGGCAATGTTTAAATTTATATACAATACAATGTTTGTATTAAAGGAAACAATATTAATTTACCAACTGCTTTAATGTTTATTTTATAGTTTGTATTATTTATTTATAGAAATTACAACTTAAAAGATTTATTTCCTTAAAATTATTGCTGAATTTGATCTTTTAATTTAATATGTTACTCCTTGACATTGAAAAGATACAGATTTTTAAACTAAGTTATACACTTTTAAGTTTGCAAATATGGCAATCTTAAATGGTGGAATTGCTAATTAGTAAAAAATTAGGAGCTTAGTAAACCTGTTGCTGTAACATGAATAAGTAAAAAGGAAAATTAGAGATTTTTTCACATGTAAATACACATTACTAATTGTGTAAGTTGAAATAATAATAAATAAAGATTTAAAGATAATAAACAAATTCTTTATAACAAATTGAAGCTAGTTAGAATTAATGCAAAAACATAAGTATATATTTATTTTTCTTAACAGATTTCGTTTTTCACTGACTGGATATATTTTAAAAGGAAGTATGTAATTTCTAAACTAAAGAATAAAATTTCAAAATATGATTATAGAACATTACATAACAGAATTAGCAGTTACATTAAAAGCCAATATGAACTGTGCTAAAAAGAAAATTAGTGCATTTTTTTGGAACACATGAGATTTAGCTAGCACAAGAAACAAGCATGATAGAGCAGAACTAAATAAACTCTCAAAATCAACAAAACAGAAAATCCAACCATTTATCAAATTGAAGAAAAAAATAGGAACATTTTTTTAATCTAGCACTGTTAATACAAATATTGGATATTAAAAAAAAAAATTATGACATAATTGTGAATATACGAGTGCAATCATTTTCAAGAATAAAATGAGTATAATTTATGTTTTTACACTATTATACAAAAGAAAATAGAAGTTCAATCAATGTAAATATTAAAAAATTAGTATGAAATTAAAAGAGAAAGCAATGCAATTAGCACAAACAAAATAATTTGGAGCAGTGATAGTTAATTATTTTATTTGTGCTTAGATTGCTTTCAGTTTCAATTACCTTAGGTCAATTCAGCAATTTACAAACGTCATATTTAAAGACTAACTCAGTTATGACATTAATACTCATTCTAATAAAAATTATATTAGAGCTGCTTAATTTTTTAAAACTGAATTAAATACTTTTTAAGTCTTCAAATATAACATTTCTAAATGGTGAAATTGCTAATATCTTTCATAATGCATGCAAGATTTCAAGAGTTACTAGTAAGGCTGAAGATCTCACATATGTGAGGTTGATTTTATTAGTCCACTCAATTTAATACAAGTAAAATAAACATTTTGAAGGACTTGGCAGTCAATGGCTTAAGTTTGAGATTATTAAATATACACATTTGGTATTTTAAGGAGAGTGAAATTTTAATTTAATTATTTATGACAATTACTTTTACATAAATTGAAAAAAGAATGTTAAACAATTTTTTTTTCTCAACAAATAATAAAAAAAAATTCCCAATTATTAAGTATGAAGGTAGTATGACATGAATTTTTTTGAAATTATATAGCAAGTGTAACAAGGGTTTTCTATACAATTAATAAAAAGTTAGTACAGCATATTTTCTAAATGTTTATTGCCTACTAAAAAGCGTGAAGAAAATGCTTATAAAACAAAACAAAGCAGACTTCATCCATTTAATCTCTATGGTGATTAAATAATTTAAGAGCAATTTAGTACTGAGAGTGTTAACATGTATATCAAAAAAAAAAGTTATAAATTAAATTACATATAAGTTTAAAACAATTACTTTCATAGAATTTTTTTAAAATTATTTAATAAAATTTTTGCCAAAATTGTTAGAAAGTGTGTGGTCCATAAAGGACAGAAAAATATTCACAATTAAAGAGCAACATAGAACAATATCTCTTGACAAGATTCGTGACTGCAATAAAATATAATTTTGAGTCAAGCAAATAATGATCCTATGGAGTAATGGTGAGAATTGCACTAAAGCTATTATTGGCATCAAAAATTGATGTAAATTACAAAAAACTAAACAAAAGCTTATGCTAAGAAGGCATAAGCCCTAATTCACTAATATCACTATGAGGTTTCTGAGCCTCTGAAATAGCTTGTTTTATAGCTTCCTTGTAAGGACCTCTCTTCTTTTTATTGAACCTAATTTTAAAATCGTCCAAAAATGGTGTTAATTGATTACAAGGCATAAAGGAGGATGTTGAAGAACCAAACCAAGTCACGTGCGCTTGCTGATTAACAGGTGCACCATTGTAACTTTGAGAAACAGTAAGAGCTAGCACTTTTCCAGGCCACCAAGGAAAACCATGAATTTTACCCCATACAATATCACCTACTGTCATTTCACGACCAATGTCTAGAATACACTTTTTAACACTTTGAGTTCTTATCCTCATTGTTAATGATTTAACTTTGTCATTGTCCCTGAGTGGTGATGAATGCTTCGGAAAATCTGGAACATCACCATAATCACTCCCAGAACCAGAACAAACACTATTATTGCTAGCACTGCTAACATCACTAGCAACTGAGTCTTCTTCAATAGAATATTTGGGACTACATCTCATATAAGCTTTGGCGTTCAGACGTTTTAAGCTAATTGATAGTTTTTTATAACATTTGCTTTTGACTTCATCAAACACACTGGTCTTGTTCAATTCGGCAGAAACAATGTCTCCTGGAAAAGAGGTTCTTAGACACCAGCCATCGTTTCCATTTGCATTGAAAACATTTCGCGTATCTGTATTTTCTAAATCACACTTTTCAGTTTCAGTCTCGCCATTTTTATGTTTCCGCTTTCGTTTCACTTTATGCTTATGGTGATGGTGTTTTTCTTTGTCAGCAGCATGAGTATCTCCATTTTCATTACTGGGGCTCAAGACTGCTGTTGTTGGAGAGTTCGCTGTAGTCACTGCCCGTTTCTGAGCTTCTTTCTTAGCTCGTTTAAGAGCTTTTTTAGCAGCTTTTGCACTAGAAAAGTTTTTGGTGCTGTAATCAGAATTTTCTTGCAAAGACCAATTGCTGTCTTCTTCCGTATCACTAGCATTTTTGATTCTGGCAGGAATTTTTAGAACAGATTCTTTGCCTTGAGGATTAGCAAAAGAAATTTTGATCACAGGACTGGTTTTAGCAAGACCTTGCTTAGATGTTGCATTATTGCCTCCAGTAGTAACAGAACCAGAATCAACTTCTTCACTTTTTACTAAATCGATTCGTTTAAGTTTTTCTGGTGGTGCAGCACAACAAGAAGGTTCAGTATTTTCTATGTCCGTAGATTTTCTTTTACGCAACACCATTTTTTCAGATCTATTTAATTTCAAGTCTCCTGTTTTTGATTCACTATCATGAACACAGTCATTTTTTGTATCACTAGATGACACTGTATTTATAGAGGCACTATCACATTTATCTGAAGAGTCAATTTTTGTACTTCTGGTAGATATTCTTTGATTTGAATTTACTACACTACCCGTATTAGCACCACTTTTGGAGTTATTGACAGCACCACCTTGTTGCAGTATTTTATTAGCAGAATTTCTAGTAACGACCCCTGGAAATTTCTTTTTATTGGGATCATTTTCAGCAACAACTTTTTGACACTGAGAACAGAGAACCTTACGAGGTCGAAGTCTTCTCATACGGACATTTTTATCTTTAGCATTTCGTGCAAATCGATAACCAAAGAAAAATGGAGTTGCACCAGGGGTAACTTGGTAGTAGGTGTGTCTTTGCTTTAGTGCATATAATTTATCCACTTTTTCTTCGGTAGTGTCTGCAGTAGTACTGGTAGGCCCATTTTCATCTTTAGGGACTTCTGGAGCAGGAGGTACTATTCCATACGGTGCATTTCTAAAAGAAAGTAAAAAACATATATTTCTTCAACTTTAGTGAAATTAACATTTAAACAGTATTTTTTATTTAAGGTTCCAAATCAAATGTTCCATTGTATAGGAAAAGTGTTTCAGTAGATCTATCCTAAGTATTTGAAGTTCAAGGTTTTGATATCCAAAAAATTTTTGATCACCTAGAACATTAATTTATTACAAAGCTGGTGAAATTAAAAAATGATGTGTGGTACAACACCTTGCAAAGGCTTATGACACACTTCATGCATCAGAATACAGTTGTATATTTTAAGAACTCATTTTATGAAGAAAAAAAAAAGCATTTTTTTTTTTACGCATTAAATTAAGAAAACGTATATCGCAGATATATTATATAGAGTATAGAAGTTGTGGGCTTGTATCCAAAAATAGTTGCAGTGGTATTGTGGGAACTTATAATTTCTGATAGCATTTATTGCAACAAGAATCATGACTTACTACTAAGTACTAAGATTCAAATAATTAAGTAAAATTAAGGTTCTTTTTTCTGTTAGCTGGTTACTAGAATATTTGACCCTCCTAAGATTTAATTTTAATTTGGAACAATTTTTGAGTGGGTTCTGATTATATCAACCGCAATCGACAAGTCACCATAACAATTGCTCAATTCGTTAACTTGCTATAAATTCTAGTATAATAATGGCTTGCCCAGTGGTGCCTCAGAATTTTTCCATGAGTTAGTATAAATATTTTTTTTCAGTTAGTTACTTACTCTTTTGCCACAGCAAGGTTCTTACAAAATATCAGAAACTATTATGATTCAAGATCCAATACGGATTTTTGCTCGTTACTCAGCTAATGCAATAGTACCAAAATTTTATATTTCTAATTATTGCTTTTAAAATGATAAAATTTTGAATAAACTGTATATAATAAATAAACTTCCACTTTAACATTTCTGTTACTATATATGTTTAAAAAAACAAAGTAAAAATTCTTTCAAGGCACTATTAACCTACAAGTGGCAACAAATGATATGACATGACTGTTGATAACAATAGATTTGGAATTTTCCACAAATTTCCCAAGAAAAAAAAATTTTTTTTTTACGTGAGCATTACACAGAAATTAAACTAAATCAAAAATCATGAAGTTAGATAGTTGATGCTGGGATTAGATTTGAAACTCTCTGTACTCCAAGGTCATTTTTCAGTTTTGTATGAATAAGATCGAAATTTGAAATGATTCTTTCAATTAAATGCTGAGCTACATAGACTAGAATGCATACATATTAAACTATTATAATAATAAGATAACATTTAACCAAGAAATTTATTCTAACAACTGCAATAAATAATAGTAATTTAATTAAGCCCTTGAAGTGATTGAAATTATTTACTCATTTAAACAAACATTTACATTTTTTGTAAATTATAATTAGTTCACTAGTTGGGTAATATATTAGAGTCGAGATTTATTGGAAATATTCATGTATACATATAAGCAGGATAGCAGAAAATTCTCAAAACCTAATATTCCCTATGAACAAATTTTCTTTTTGGTTCACAATTTCCCCGAAAATTTTAGTTTTTTTTAAAAGTACAATAACTTTTTCAAAAATATAGTTTAAATAAGAGAAAAATTCATTTGATTTTACATGATTCTTGAAATCAAATCATATTGAAATAGTACCTAATAATTTATCAAATTAAATTTAAGGTCCTAATTATAAACTTAAGTAATTCAAACTAATAATTACACAAATAGGCATGTTGAGAGTCAATAAAAAAAAATATAAGTTGAGATCAGAAAGTTATTGGCAAACCCTTTATTTTACTTCATCTGAAAAGTCTGCTTAAATTGCAACATGAAAGAATTAAAACCAATATTTAGATTGATAATAATTAATAACTCATAATAATTATCAGTACTAATATAAACCAAATACTAATTATAATGTGGGTCTTAAAGTATTAAGAATTAGAAAAACTATTTAATAGATTCACTAATTTTGGCTATATCTTTTCTATATGATAGATAAATAATATAAAAGATATTTATTATAGTATATAATGCAAGTATTGTGCATGATTTAGTATCGAATAAAATGTCTCCTGACAGAAATAAATGAAAAAAAGCTCAAAAATTATTATTAATTTAACAGTCCAAAGATCAAATGAAAATTACTTTGGAAAACCATCTTTTCTTGTAGCATCAAAAAATGGCTTGCTTCAAACAATATTCAATGATTTTGAAAAATCACCCACTTTTAGCCTAGACATTTATATATAAAATATAAAAGCTAAAAAAGTATCAGAAAAAATCCAGTTTAAAGACATTCTCAGAGTATCATATTGCAATAATTTTGATGTATGAATTTTGTTTAAAACAATGGGTTGGTTTTAGCAAATTTTTTTTTTTATAAATTAGTAAAAAAAAAAAAAGAAAATCCTTAAGTGGAAAAGAAATTAAAAAGAAAATTTCTAAAAAATGGGCAGATGAATTAAAAAATATATGCACCTTATTTCAAAATTACAACAATCATCACCTTCATCTTATGCTATATTAGTAACAAATTACATTTTCTCAATAACAGTATAAGTAACTTCTTTAGGATAATTTAAGTTTATTTCTTATTGTTTTATTCATTTTTTTTATAACTATTATTAATTAGTCATAATGATATGCTTTTTTCTCTAGTAATTTTCATTTTTAGACTTACTTGAATTTAATATTTTTATTTATTTATTTCATCAATTATCCTAACATTACTTTCAAATATAATATAAATGTGTCTTGCATTTTTAAGATTAGCTAATATTACTCCCAATATTATATTGAGATATTTTTAGCCTCCCTCCAGCACATTAAATGATCATTCAAATTAAATGTGATTTTATCAAAGAGTTTTATGTAAATTTTAAACCTATACTCAAAATAATTAAATTTATTACTATTTTTTTTAAAAATAATTTACACTAGTACTAAAAAGATTTTTTCATTTATTTACTCAAATTTATATTAAAAAATTATCATTGAATTCAATTATAATTTTAAAACTTTTAATTTTTTCTAAACTTCTATCAAGAGGAAAAGTTATTTAAGTAACAATTTGATTTATGTTAAATAAAATGCAAAACTTAAAAAAAAAAATTAATAAATAAATATTCAAGCAATACGTATTGATTAGTACTTATATACTATCATAATTATTTTCTTCATTATTCAACAATATTTATAAAAAAATAATTGAACTAGTTATAAAATATTTAATTGAACTACTAAATTTACAAATTTCAACTCAAAACAAAAACAATTATTTTAAGTTCTTAACTGTAGGTAAAATCTAATTTAATTTAATATGGAACCTCAATTTTTTAACAATGACTTTCTAAACATTTTAATGATGTGTTTGCATACACTTCTCCTAACCTTAACAAAATCCAAAGCAGTAGTGAAAAGTGAATATAATAACTATTTTACATGTATTTGTTATAAGCAATATATTGCTAAAGAACATTAAAAAAAATCTTTTAGAACAAAATAAGCAAGCTTTATTTTTTGATATACCATTTGTGAAACACTAATTATCACATTTTCACACATGTGGCTAAAACTAAACTAGGGGTTAATTAATAGTATATAATCATTAAAATATACTATTGAAAAGTAATCTAGAAAGATTTCCAATGTTAAGGAATAATTCAGAAATTAATGATTCTTAGAAATTTTATATTGGCTACTATTTACATGATATATTTTTTAAAAAAATACTTTTATGAGAATGCAAAACAAAACTTGAATACAATAATAGCTGGTGTAAAGTAGATGATAAGAGTATGAAATTAAAGAAATAAATATGTAAACAAATGATGTATAGATACAAAGAATCTAGGTAAACAATGTATTTTAGAAATTGTTAAAATGGAGAACCAAAACATTATAAATTTAATAAGATGAATATAGAATAATTTATGGTTACTAATATACTTAGAAAAGCTATAAAAAATATCTAATTAAAGAAATTAACAATAATAAATTACAAGAAGCTTTCCATTCTATTAATTTATTTTGGGTACTATTATAGGTACTTACAATGCAAGTTCACTTGTAAGTAATTTTTAGGCACTTTTTAATAGCTAATTAAATTGGTCCTAACATAAATAAAAGTTTAAATAACGTTAAAAGAAAAAAATATATAAATTATAGCTCTTTAAAATAAGAATATGCTTGACAATGACGCAAATGTAAAGAAGCGTCATTGTGAAGAAGTATTTACATGTACATAAATATAACGCATAAATTTATTGAAACAAAATAAAAATCAATCACTTTCATAAAGAATCATGCAGGATAAATAGTTTCATTAAAAATATGTTACAAATAGAATCGGCAACATTGAACAAAATAATTTCAAGGGCGTTGCACAATGATATTATTATCAAAATTTAACTAGTAATATAAACAATAACTTAAACAAAATTGATAAATAAAACATTTTAATGATTATATTACGTAAAATAAGTTCTAAAGAATTAAAAAACTTGATATTGGCTAACTTAGAACACTAAGAAGAATCCATTAGCATATGGAAATTCCATAACTGAAACAGATATTTTTATTTTAAAAAATATGTATGATATTTCTAAGTAATTTGAAAGAATATACAGATAGACTTTATAAAAATACATATATTTCCAAAACCATTAGGCAGAAATAAGCTTTTATTTACACTAAAAAATAAAATTTTTCTGTTCATATGATCATGATTTTCACAACTGATACAAAACTTCTAATTTCTTAAATATTGAAAAAAATAGCAAGTATTATATATCAATAGGTTCGTAAAAATGTATATTTTTTAGATATACTATTTAATTTTTATTTTATTCCATCAAATTTGAGAAAAAGAGAGCAACAGCTTGCACACCTTTGTGTGTTCTTGTGTTAATGAAATTATTTGAATTAACTTATTTTTACTTACTTTTTCGTGATGTCCAGCAATGCTCCTTGGTATATTTTGGTCCCTACATTAAATGACACGACTAAAACATCAATAAGAGCATCTTCCACTAATACTAAAATTTTTGTCCCCTTCAATTTTGTGACATCAGAGTCCGTATCGGTCGCCATTTCTGATATGCTAGGCTTACCCTCCATGGCTTTGGAAGGCAAACGGAGACGAAGAGGCTAACTGCGCTTGCGCAAAAGCAAATCTTCTTAAAGCTTTTTCTAAGCTTTATAAACATGTAAAACTTTTAATATTATCTTCCAATTCTTTTACAAAATGTTTCTATAAACATTAAGCTTTATGAATTTTAAGTTCATAAAGCATAATACATATTTTATCTTTACAAATTAAACGAAAATACCAATCATCCCCCCAAAGGGCCACGTTCCCAATCTACGATTCGTTACGGGAGACAAGTGAATATTTTTAACCCACTATAGTTGGGGCAAGGCCTAAGTGATTTCTTAGTAATTTTATGTCTATCTATTTTAATTATGTACTTGTGTTTCACATTTAAAATTAATTTAGAACAATTTTATTGGGTAGGAAGAATCATTTTTATGTTTTTTGAATTACAATTAAGTGATTTTTATAAAAGAATGAACTTCCAACTACATGATACCATAACCTTATTTCGCGTGGTAAAACAATGAGAAATCTTTATATTTGTTAGACGCCATTTTGAGTGATCTTTCGAGCTGTAAATAAGTAGAAGGCCTACTAAATAACTATTTTTTAGCTACACATGATAATTATTTTTGCTTGACATTCAATCATTTATTTCCCTGATTATTTAGTAGTTATTTCGGCCGACAATACAGACTGAAAAATACATTATGATACTATATAATGAAACTAAATTATAGTAAAAATATATAAAGATACATAACAAATATTTTATTCACAGCAATTTAAGCTAAAAAATAATAGTATTCATTCGTCCATATACATAATAGTTTATATATTTTATTCATATTATTTTATTGCTAAAAAGCTAGGAATTAAAAGTTCAGAACAATAAATATAAACAAATGAATTTCCTCTACTTATAAGTGCGTGTTAAAAATAAAAATCTTTCTTTTACGGTATAATGTAAGGAATATCTTAACTAGACAAACAAACACACATTAATCCTTCATATAAATAAATTAATATGAGAATGATTGATTAATTTATTTGGACTAACTGTTTACAAGGAAAGAATTCCACGACATCTCAATGAAATATAAAATTTACACATTAAAAGTTTTGATCTTTATATTAACTTGAAATGTTTTGATAATAATGAATGAGTGCATCTTTTATTATTGGATATTTTTCAGATAAATAACAATAATAGTAAGAATAAAGTAAACCAAATTCACTTTGTAATTGATTGATTGAGTATTTTATTTGAAATCGAGATAATGACAATTATGGATGGTTAAAGGAAATTTCATTTGTTGCTTAAAGTCACTATATAAATGTTAAAAAAATATTTAACATCAGCCACTGGTAAAAAAAGAAGGTTTAATTAATTTTAACTATGCAATTTTGTTAAAATTTAAGCTTTTACCCATACGAATGGGAAGAATCATTTTTATATTTCAGATAAACTTTTGCTACGACAACGACTTTAATAAACTTTCTATCTTTGCGAAGTTAAGTTTATTTATGCAACTGCAATTTAGTTAAAATTGCGTTTAATGTAACTAACCAATAATTTTATTTTTGCTTTTATTATTCACTTTTTTTATTAGATGCAAAGTATTCCGTAATAGTCGCCTTTATTTCATATTTTTGGAATTCTTGTCAAAAATGAAGCCAAAATAAATAAATAAAAGCATTAGAGTTCACAAATTAATATTTATTCGAGGAAAAAAAAGAAAATCTCATTTAAATTATCTAATGTTATCTAATCTTAACGAATCACTCGAGAGGAACACGTGAGAGAAAAATCAAAACCTGTTTGATTGCTGGAAGAGACAAGAGATTAGAATGGTGATTATTAGAGATACTTCGTCTGACAATCAAACTGGTTTTGATGTTTTTCATGTCGTTTTCCTCGTTAGCGATTCGACATATTTTAATGGTGTTTTGTTTTTTACTAATTTACATATTAATCTGGGTCCCTTTATGTTTATTTTTTTTTACGTATTTTTTTTACAAGAAATTTATAAATAAATATTAAGGTAGTCATTTTGGGACAATCTGTATATGTGCTAATTTTATAGCAAAGGTTTGTATTCTTTGTTCTCCACACTGTGTCCAAAATTATGACTGGTGTTTTGCGTCGGAATTACATATTATTACATTGATTAAATTAAAAATATGAAGAATTCCTTTTTTGTATCATAGAATATTTTTTCTCGGGAATTACTACAATAATTACAATGCAATTATGCAATCGTTCTTCTTAATTTAATATTTAGCAACTCATTTAGCATCCTTATTAAAAAAATAAGTCGGAATACAATAATTGCCAAAAATATGATTATGTAATGTATGAACGACCCCTAGGGTAAACTAACCAGTGAAGGAACACTTAAGCTTCGCTTGCCTTTTAAAAAATCATATTAATTTCAAAATTCGTAATTTTAGTTAAATGACAGTGTCAACATATTTGTTACTAATTGCAAATTATGTAAAAAAATTGTAGAGAACTTACATAATATTGTTTTAAAGTTTTGGAGGTTCAAATAACAAGTAGTAAGAAGACCAAGTGAAGGAACAGCTCTTACCAGTGAATGAACACCCAGTAAAGGAACACTTAATTTTGGTTATTTTTTAATGCTCTTTATGAATTTATAAGCCATACAAATATTTAAAAACAAGCCTATTCTTGAAATTATAACATATAAATACTTGGAAAATGTTAACTTTTTTTTGTAATCATGAATTGAAAATTAAAGTGTCAACATATTAACACATACTGTTCATTCACTGGGAAATCTATGCCCAGTAAAGGAACATGCCTGTTCCCTCACTGGTTAGAAGTTGTTTTTCGTATTTTTAACATACTTTTGATGCGGAACATCACTAAAGGTACAAGAAAATTAAAGTTTATCTTTTATTTTCATTAACTTAGAAAAAAAACCAGTAAAGGAACACTTGTTCCTTCACTGGTTTTTCATCGTTTGGTGATCCAGTGAATAAACACCCCCTTATCTCAGTACTTTATTATGCTATGATGCTTAAAAAAAATAAAACGTAACTTCAATAACTATATTTTGAATTCTCTTTTTCACAGTGAGAAAAATAAAACTATTACATGCAATTAATTCCACTTCAAACATATAAATACAAACACTCACCTTATAATTTTTTCAAAGAAACAAGGTGTTGCAGAGATAATAACAAATTCAAAAATTTTTCCAGAGAAGTCTATTTGACCAGGTAATCCAAAACATTGCTAGATGACTTCCTATTGTTTGGCAGTAAGCTATTGTTACCAATCAATCTAAAGAAAAACTTTCAAATTCTTATTTTTAATGAATATATATGAAATGTTCCTTCACTGGGTAGCGTTCCTTCACTGGTTGGTTTACCCTATATATCTGATTGATTACTGTAACAATTTATACTCATAAAAAAAAAGTATATATTTTTTTAAAAAAGTTATATTTTAAATGATATTTACTTTTTTTTATCATGCTAACAATTTACTTTTTAATTTTTATTATATTACTCAAATTTTAGTTCAGTAAAAATAGTTCATTTTGAAAGCTGTAATTTTCTTCTGTTGTAATTCAAGCATTTTTCTTCCTTTTTTTCCACTCTAAAATAAATATTAAAAATACATATATATATTCCTCTTTGAATACCTTCTCGAAGTTTTAAAAAGCGTAATAAGGAAAACAATGTCATGTAACTCAAATGGCCAATGGAAGAATTGGAAAAGAAATTCGTAGTTTTAATTTTCCTTTCGCAACGAACTGAATTTCGGTGTTACTCTTGTGTTATACTTACGAAATACTTATACTTACTTATGAAAAACTCAAATCGAAATGTTAAGTTGATATCTATTATGCATATATATTATGTATAGCTATTATGTATATCTATTATTAACGAGCCACATGTAATCAAATCAAATACAGAGTGCGTAACTAAATTTTTCAACAAAAAATAAGCACCTTTTAAGCCCTTTTCAAGCACTTAAAAATATTTTCCAGCACTTATAAAAAATATAATTAGCCAGGGTAGGGCCAATTTTTGACAATTGACGGTTTAATCGTCACGTCAAAAAAAAAAAAAATGTCTGTATAGTTTTTGACAATTGTTAAATATCATGAAATTTTGAATTATAAAACGAATGGCGTTTTCATACGCTGCGGACCGACGGTACGCCGAAATAGATTGGGGTTGAATTAATTGCGAAAACGTCGAACAGAACAATACGAACAGTGTCTTTTTGCATAATACATGGCAAAATCAACAGGGTAAAGGAAAAATTAAGCACTTTTTACAAACACCCAATGAAAGAAGCACCTTTAAGAGCTTTTAAAAAACGAAAATCGAAAATACGCACCTTTAGCGCATTTTAAGAACTCTTACGCACCCTGAAATAGGAATATATTATTTGTATTACTTTTTTGTTCATCATATACAGTTGAAAGGGATATTTTTAAAAGTTTTCACTAAATTACATTACGTGGCCCGGAAAAAAATATTTGATGCAAAATAACTTAACTAAAACTTATTTTACAGGCTAAGCTTTCTGTTCGATCGTTCTATCAGAGTTCACTTTGTTCGCTTATTTCGTCTGTCCTTAAATTTGAATAACCTAAATATGCTTAAAATTTCATTACAAAATTACGGTTACTGTGGTTAACTGTATGAAGCTAAACATGTTGGGTGGCTGAAGAAAATTAAAGTGCTTTCCGGGTTGCTATTTTCGATGAATTTTCGCACCAAAAATTGATAGTTTACGTTACAAATTTCAAGGTCGTATTGATATATTGCATGCTTATTCATTCTGACTTTTTAAACATTGAGATGCACAAATAAAGAGTAGAAAATAAAATAATTTCAGATAGATATAATTCAATATTGAAACAAATAAATAGTCAAAATGAGCTATATTGCTTAAAATATAACAATTCATTGATTTATTTATTGATTGTTTCGAATAATTTTTAGTTCAATTTAAGTCTCGCGATCTCAATAAATAAAGATGTCCAAGCCAGAAGCTGAACTATATCACTGAACGGAATAAATCAATCAATTTTCATAATTTTGTAGCCGTGTATGCCAAATAGTTGTTCACACTATTCCTACTGATCGTATTCCCATTCCAATAGAAACGTATTCCTATTGGTCAATCATGAATTCATTGATGGATTGCTAGTTGACCAGTAAGTGAAGTGATATCAGCTTAGACATTTCTATATATAAAACTAGGAAATGTCTTTTAAATATCCTACAAATTAA